TTCGCCCTACTTAATTCACGTTTTAGTGAGTCCATAATATCCTAAGTATTTTGTATATTGACTTAACTGCTCATTTCAAAAATTGTTTCCTGTACATGAGCAGCTACTTATCCTTGGACTATTCAGGTAATATTTTTTGTCCTATAAAAATGTCAATTGAGTACCATCTGTCAATTTTACGTAAATCTGGCTTTCCTGTCAAATATTGTTCAACAAAGTATTGCCGATATACTTTCATCTTGGTTTGATCTTTTTGTTATATATTTATAGCACAGCAGATTCCGATCAATATACAATTTTTGTTTTGTCTCATCTGACATCTTTGTAAACCAACTATTTTGTTTCTTAAACTTTCTTGACTTTCAAATATTTGACTTTAATCGTACCTGGTGAAGGCAAATCAAGAAATGCGCTTCAGACGCAAGAAATGTGTTAATTGTTGTTTTCATTTTTTATTTAGTAATATATTATTTCAAAAGAATTTGGTTTCCTTTAAAATTTAGAAATAATTCAAGACTACTATTTATGGGAGTACTTGAAGTCTCTGGTAGTCATGATTAACAATACTACCATAACTTTCGAAAAAAAAAACGAATAGGGAAAACAAAGGTTGTAAGTGGGTATCCCTGGATTGAAAAAAAAATGACATTCTAAATCAGCAAAGCGTTTGTAAAGGTCCTTCTCATCAATAAATTTAAAGATGCAAATGAGCCTGAGAGCACCCCCGGTGTTTGGTGGGGTTCGTGTTGCTCAGTCTTTAGTTTTCAATGTTGTGTTTGTATACTATTGTTTGTCTTTCGGTCGTTTTTCAGTTATTTGTTATGGCATTGATTTGAACTTATGAGTTTGAATATCCCTTTGGTATCTTTCGCCTTCTTTTTTATGACATCATATGAAGCAGAATTAAAAAAATCTGGGTATCCTTTAAACTCAGATTATATATAAGGAAATGGTTGATAAAAACATCTTAGTGATATTAGTACTTTTGCGTTAAAATAACTGTACCACCTTCGCCTTTTACCGTTCCAGAAAAGCGTTTCGGACGCATGAAATTTATAACGTGTTGTTTTCAATTTTTACAGTACTGGGTCGATACCTCTGCTGGTTGACTATAAGTCCCCGAAGGTATCATCAGCTCAGTAGTCAGTAATTCGGTACTGACATGATTTACAACAAACCTTTCTAAAATTGTCCATTAATAAATTTTGATATTATAAAAAACTAAGGTTTCAACTCTCGGGCAAAGTTGACTTTAGATTGATTTGGCTATTTTTAGGTCCCTTTCTGTGATATAGCTCTTAAACTGTTCTTCTTATACATCATTGGCTTTCAAATATTTGCCTGTGAGCGTTCCTGATGAAGAAAAATCCAGGAAAGAGCTTCGGACGCATGAAATTTATAATGTGTTGTTTTCATTTTTTAACCTTTGGGTAAAGCTAAAGAAAGGATGCCAAGCTGCGTGACCACATACACTCTTTCATTTCATGGGGGTAGTAGGAGGGGGTGTCATCCAAAATTCCAGAAAACAAAGCATTCTTTTTCGGATCCCGAAAGTTATTTCCCAAGTCCCTATAAGTGAAACTTCCCAATTCCCGAGAAAATAAAGAACGAATCCCGGATTCCCCGAAAAAACAAAGGCCCTATCCCGACTCCCCGCAGAAACGGTTCATTCGCCGCTCTTTCATTATTTTATTGACCACTTTTCTTCTAATGCGAAATGCCAACAATATGTCGTGCTCCTGACACGAAGCACAACAGAAATCGAAACTACATACGTTTAACGGTCACCAGAACGATTGTATGAACAAATACGATATTTCTTTGTCTCAACTCACAAGGGACATGTTTTCACTGTCTTTGATCTGTAGACACCATAATAATATGTTAATTCATCGATTGTTTCATATTTCCTTTTATGACATTTTGATCCAGTACGGATTCGTATGATGAATGTATAGAAAGAGACGCTTACCCTGTCGATGCACCATGTCTCGCTTCATTTGGATTTCATGATATCACTTTAGTTTCAGTTTTTTTTTTATCTTGACATTTATATTCTGAATGCAATTGCGAAATTTTAACATGCATTTTATATCCCAACATTAATGTAAATGTTACTAGGGTATCGCAAGATGAAAGAAGTTGTGCATGACAAATTAAATAAACTCATCATCATTCCCTTCATGACATTTAAAGCTATTTTCCTTCTTCTTGTCTGAACTTCTCATGAACTCACGTCGTCAACTGATGTATAAATATGCTTTACAAATAAGGGGATGGAGTAAAAAAAAGGCACACAACACTTGTTACAATTCATGCGTCCAACGCGCTTTTCTGGATTAACCTTCATCAGGATATACTGCCAATGCGACAACTTTTCACCAGAGACCATATGTCTAGGAACATACATTCATAGATTAACGTACGATTTTCAACAATAAATATAACATATACCGAAAAGTAAGCTATAAAAGACCCGATTGTGATGAATCATAAAACAATTCAAAAGAGTTATCAACGGCCTAATTTATGCTAAAATCAATAAACAAAAACAAATATGACAGACAGCATCCAAAGACAACCACAAACACAAATTTGTTAAGTAAGCGTGTAAAATACATAAAGATATCAAGGGGAAAAAAGTCAATAAGATAACATAAAAAAAACCACAAAGAATACACCATGTAGAAGCCAATAGAATAAAAATAACAAAATTCTACAAAAAAAACCGTAGGATTGAGTACCATGAGCCTATGTAAAACTCGGGGTGAAATCACTGGGTGGTTTCCCAGTTCCATTCATGGCATAAGTCTAGCTCATCCTGATTCCTCCAGTTTTTGTTGAATACTTTGATTTGTCCTCTTCGTCGATTTATGGAACATCGGTAAACATCTGTTGCCTAAATTCATGACAAGAAAAAATGATTATAGATACTTGTGTTTACGAGAACAATATCAATAATATCGTTTGTTGAAAGAACTTCATCGCCTTAAAAGAACAAAAACATTAACTTGAAAAGCTATTTAATCATTTTGATGTCAATATTGCAGTCATAGGGTATTGCATATCCATTGTCAGTTCAGTGTATCTAGTATACTAGTAATCTTTTTTGAAGACAAAAATGAGCACTTGATATTAGGGTTCGTTAGTAGAATACCATTTTTTTTTTATTACATTCACTGTTATATGCTGGTTTTATAAACATTTTTTAATGTTTTACTTCATGAAGAAGGACATATGTTATTTTATTCATGATATGTTCATATAAGACCTTTACCAATAACGTCTTTGTATAAAAGTTACGCTGGACTCATTTGTCGGACAAAATTTCATAATTCTATTGTATATGCCCCTCAGTAAGACCATACGGGACAGTCTCAAGTAACAATATTTATCCCATCACTCTGGGGTTCCGGGAGTTCGAAGTAATAGCATTAAAAAGCATTTCAAAATAAACATATGTGTCAAATAAGTCCGTTACAAACGAGTAACAATAAGTACATATTATCTTAGAAATAGTCCAAACGTTTTTTATTTCGTTTGTAGTTGTTGTTTGATAACACCGTGTTGAAAGCATACAATGCTGTTTATTCTTCTGCATTATAATATTGGTCAATAATTATTACAATTCTATGTTTTTAACCAATAATGACATACAAATATTTTGTCAGAACCCTTTAACATTAATCAATGTTATGATTCAAAGTTGTTAATCATATCCCTTTTGGTGAAAAATCCAATGATATGATTTCCGTAGGCGCAATTGTTGAAATTCAAAAGAGGGAGAGCTATTTTTGAATTTCCTATAAAATTTAGAATATATAAAGACAGCAAACTCTTTTCCTTTTACTTCAAAACATTTAAAGAACTGATGAAAATGGGCTGTTGTTTCATCTTATTACTAACATTCATGGTTTGTTCTAAAGCAGGTAGGAACTTTCAATTTATATTATGATTCTTTTTTATCATATCAAATAATAATTACCAAATTTAATCTATCTCAAAACAAAATTAATAAACAAATATAAAACACTAAAAAAAAAAACAGCTAAAACACAGCAAACCCCAAAAATATCGAAATAATAATAAGAATAAGAATAACGAAAATAATTTGAATTTTTTGTTTTCTAATGTGTTGTGTCACTAACTTAGGTTTTTCTACCCCCAGGAAAAGAGTACCTAAGCTGTATTTGGCAAAACCTTTCGGAACTGTGGGTCTATAACTTCGTACTTTATTTGGACTTTTTAACTTTTTTTATTCGATAGTTTCAAATGAGTCTTTTGTAGACGAAACGCGCGACTGGCGTTCAAAAATTTATTCCCGGTATCTTAAGTTTATTTGCTTTCATTTTGCTTAAAAAAATTCATTACGGATGAGTTTTTAACATATAAAATCAATATTCATTTCTTAATTAGAAATTGTATTTGGTGATTTCAACATCTTTCACTCATTTTTGGGTTATCTTTTTTCTTTAAATGTTTTGATTTAAAAGCAATAATAGGATACTTCTTCCTCTATAAATAAAAATCAGAATGGCAAAGAAAGGCGTCAATAATTGGTGCAAACAAGAGAAAAAATATCAACAATACCCCCCAAAAAAGCAGAAACCAAACAAATAAGGAGAAAGAAAAACTAAATATAGTAGCAGAACGACAGCCTTGGAAAATATTTTTTTTACTATTTAATGAAAAAAGGTACTTCATCGAACATTTTGAATTAGTTACGTGATTGAATGCATTATTGCCGAACAATAGTTTGTCAATATCAACTTGTATTTTCATATAAATTAGTTCATAGACTGGAGATATTCTTTGTTTGAAATGTGATCAATATTCTATAAGGTAATGACACATTTTTTACCCTAAAATAATTTCTTTCTATAAATAAAACGACGAAAATTAGATTAAAACAGCTATTTCCGATAAACATTTGGACTTAAAAAGTGTTAAAGCTGAATATATTTTGTGTTTAATAGAATCATTATGATATTTCAGCATTTTATTTATATAAAGACATAAAAACTACATGGGATGATGGTCGAAGTAAATGTTTTGATCGAGGAATGTCCCTTGCTGTCTTGAAATCAGAACAAGATTACAACGAGGCCAAACTGTATATTAAAAATGTAATGTAAGTAAAATATACTTGTATTTCTGTAAGTCATGATCCTGTTCTTTAGTAGTTGTCGTTGGTCACTGTCTGATAATTTGGTATGTTTTTTTTTGTTTTAGCAGAAAAGGGACAGTCGGTTTTCTTGTTTGAATTGTTTTAAATTTTGTCATGCTGGATCTTTTTATAGTTTACTATTCGGCATGGGATCTGTTACTTCCAGATCCTTTGGTGTTTCATTTGAAATCATATCGCATCAACTTATTTTTTTTTATAAAGAACATTGTTTGTAGACGTTTAGCATGTTCTTCTTAATTTGTGAACATGAAAAAACCCAATAATTATGAATCTTTGTGTTTTTGATATTTGTTTTCATTTGTATTCTTTTTTTTGTAAAGTTTATGCTTGAGCTTCTGTTTGATTCATTTGTTTTTTGAGTGTATTTTTTAAATGTCATTATTTTGAGTTGATTTTTTTGACATATTGTTATATCGTTACTGAAGAAAAGAACAATGTAGACGACTGTCAAATGAAGTTGCCAGTATGAAAGTTTAAGGGATTTTGTTAAAAAGTTATTTTATATTTGGACAGTCGTTTTGTTTGATACAATAAAATAACGTTCACAACTTTTTTCTCCCTGACGCTCAATTAAGGTTGTGAAAGCGTTTTGTTTCCCTTATATACATGTGTATTTTTATATTTGTATAATTCTTAGTTGATTTGTCCTTTTCCTGACCAGTTGATTATTTTGTTTTAATCAACGTGTGTGGCTCGGTTGATCCTAGTTTTTTTTGGGTCAAAATCGAATTATATCTTCAAAGTTTGCTTTCCTCTACATTTACTATTTTGACGTCACGGAAAAGGCGACAATGCCTTATGACGTCACATAGATAGAACACATCTTTTTGCAGACCATAGAAAAAGAAAGATAACGTTTGCCAAAATATCGCCTGAAAATTTTAGAGAAACAGATTCCACTACCTAATCTCGTGCAATACGATATTTATCAACTCTGGCCTTGTGTTTTGAATTTGAAAATTTAACTGTCTGGAGTGGATAATTATCGCATCACACTCGATATCGGCTTTTGGCGAGAGATAAAGGATTAAAAAATCTGAGCTAGTTTTGTCCATTGCTCTCTTATGTATAAAATTAAGATGTGGTATAAATATCAATGAACCATACTGGGACAAAGATGTGAAAACTTACAGGTATAAATGTGCGGGATTCAACAACGAGCAAAACCCACACCGTTTAATATTCCTTTGGTTTTTGTTGTATTATTTTAATCGTGTCATTTTTAATTGTTAGTTTTAGCTACTTATTCTTTTATATTTTTTCCAATTTTGTGAGTAAATGGTCACTGTTGTCTTGATCATAAGTTACATTTATGGATATTTTACAAATGAAGGAGACTGAAATCACAATGTTACTTCTTGTTGTGGTATTAGTGATAAAAACAAGACCTTCATATCATACAAACACTTTAATAATTATCATATTTATAAGATTGATCATACAAAAAAAAACAGGACAAATCCGGTTAAACCATATGAAAGATGCTCGTCTAGAAGATAGGACAGTCAACGATGAGTAAACATAAGGAAAGCTACGTATGGAACGGGGACCCAATTATTTCCCCCATTACTTCAATAAAAAATTTTCCAAATTGAGGGGCAGATTTTTTATTCCCTATATAAGACTGCAAAATTTAAATTACTTTCTCATACTAGTAGCCCACTTCATGGTTTCTGGGAGAATTCTTGGAAGGTCATGATCGGCATTTAAGAGAGTAATACTGTTTCGAGTATTAATACGGTCATTTTATTAACTTCCTGGTTAAAATCGAAAATAAAATTTGGACAATTTACTCAGACAATCATTCACCCTATACATTTCAGAATCACTGAAAATTTAACAGAAGTTGAAAGTTTATTGAATATCCTTTAGATATACTACAAATTTAAGCATCTTAACATAATTTTCATCTCGGTACAATGTCCCATTTAAAAGATGGTAAATTATTAAGGGACTTCATTCGTGGGTACTGGACTGGTATCCTGTAATTGGCATCCTATTCCTATCAGACATGATGATCATCTCAAAAAGAAGAAAAATTATGTTATTTGCTGAAAGAAATCATTTATCTTCAATAAAATCAATTTGTTTTATGTCTTTGTTTTGTGCATTTTATAGCCAGAAACAAGAGGCCACCCCTCCACACCAAAAAAGAGCATATTTTCAGCCAAATTTTAATTTAAACCAAAGAAGTCTCAAAACCATTTTTCCTGAACCCATTCAATTTGTCAGCTCTAAAATGACTTTTTGATGAAGGAAATGTTATATAAAAGCATTTTCTCTGAATTACAAGCACCAAAAACCCAATTTTAGCTTCAGAGATATGCAAATATATGTAAAATGAGATATCTTTGATATATGTATACCGTGGCTTACATCTCTATTTTTCTTCAACTTCAACCAAAGAAAAAGAAAATCCGGCATAGATATGTGAAGATTACTAGTAAAATGCATACATAATCAGTGGCAGAATTCAATATTTACATGAAAACCTAATGAAAGAGTGTATTGGACTATGTTACAATATGATAGAATTTTGGTGCGTTGCTGTAGAAACAATAAATATGCTATAATTTGCCATTTTGTTGCCAAAATTGAATATTGTATGAATGAAAGAGTCACATCAGCAAGTCTTGCAACAAACAAACTTATTTTCATATTTAGAAAATGGATCATTTTCTCTAAATATTGACTATTTTGACAAAAATTATCAAAATTTAGCTGATTTTTCATTGACCGTCTATATAAAATTGCACATTACAGACAAACTTTGACTTTTAAGTACAAAACTAGGACTGTTTGACCCTAACTATATAGCAAGCTTACCACAGGATTGATCAGTTTTATTGATGGTTGTATTTCGTGGTCCAAAATTGACTTTTTGCATCATTTTGTTTCTTCGGTATCAAATTACGCACACTTTATACAGTTAAAATGATAAGAAGTAAGGGTTCATTGTACTTTTAATGAAAAAATGTAATAAAACTGCACAAACTTACACTGCCTGTCATATAAAACAACTTTGCAGCCAATATTATGACGTTTGAACTAACTATCTGCTCAAACTGGAAAAGCATTTATTTCTTTAATATAATTACATAATAGCCTGTTATATCTATTATTAATTAACTACTCTGTTATTGGACTTAATATGATGATAACTGCCTTTGCTATACAAAAGTGTCAACTCGGCTAATACAGAAAAACTCGGCCAGTATGGATTTGTTTCTGTATTGGCCGAGTTCTGATCCGGCCAATACAGGATTTCGGAACGTCTTTAGTTTTCAGATCGAAAGTCATGATAAACATAACTTAGTGTAAACTGTTGTTTGGAAGACGCTGTTTTATTTACTCACCATAAACATGCCGAAACGTTCAGTGTGGCAAATATTTCAGGCTGAAGACGGTCACATTCATTTAAAAAAGCATTTTATAGGCAGACAATTGAATTATTTCAGGTTTGGGCAACGAGTCTGTAGATTATCACAAAGCACATTTCTTGTCGACCTCATAACTATTTAAAGTAAAACAGTTTTTCAGTTTAATGAGTGCATTTCAATTTACTGTTTACTTTCGCTTCTCATGTTTTTGTATCATATATTTTTCAACCCGAACCTCATATGGACTGTTAAAGGATGACCTGTAATCTAATGAACAAGTCTTTGTTCTTTGGTCATGGTCTATGGATAGTTGTCTCATTGGCAATCATATTCAACTCCTAGTTTAATTTAGTCATTTTGTTTCTGAATCTCTCATGCAATGGCAGTACCTTTCCAATTACTAATTATGTGTTGCATCAGAATATGTATTGAAACACTTTAAAGTGACTGAAAAGAGTTAATAAATCGTCAAAAAATGTAGAAGAGTCTTCTAAACAGCACCAGATCATTTGACATTGCAGCTTATAAAAGGAAACTCAAACTTGGTATGTTCGATTTCAATGTAAAACATGTTAAAATCTTGTGAAAGGAAATAAAACACAAAAAAAGATAAACACTGTATGTACATAGTTAATTAATAAAGATATCATCATTACGTGATTATTTCTGTATAGGCCTTGTTATTGGTCCTCGGCCTCGCCTCAGGCCAATACAGCAAGCCTCGGACCCATCACAAATCCAATACAGAAATAATCACGTTATAATATCATAATATGACACCAATATGATAAATATAAATCAATCTTTCTAATTGTCCAATATTTTGTCAATGTCTATCAAATCAACGACAATTTGAAGATTTGTGTTGCTTAATTCCTTCAGGTGTACCTTACCCTTGACAAGAACGGGAACCCAATTATTCCCCCATTACTTCAATGCAATTTTATCCAAATTGAGGGGCAGATTTTTTATTCCCTATATTAGATTGAAAAATTTGATTACTTTTTCATACTAGTAGCCCCCTTCATGGTTTCTTGGAGAATTCTTGGAAGGTCATGACCGGTATTTAAGAGAGCAATACTGTTTTGAGTATTAATAGGGTCATTTTATTAACTTCCTGGTTAAAATCTAATCTAAACTTATCTAACTTATATTTAAACCCCCTTTGTAGAGGAACCATATTTTCATATGTAGAACAGGTGCTCTCTTTATATACAGTGCTGCTTCTCCTTCCACCATTGGGCATCTAATCATATTTACATGCTGTTGCTCCTTCCACCATTCGACATCTGATGTGCGCATATTTACAGTGAAGTCCTACCCCCACACAATTTGCATAAATTCCTTTATTTTACAGTTTAGTTCACTTGATTCAAGAAATTTGTGTGGTTCCCCCAACCACGCCTTTATAGATGTTGAGATAACGGAATCGCTTTTTTTATTGTCACTTTGCACTAGATTTATTGCTGTCCACATACCATCTTGTAACGGGCTATATGAAGTTGGTATAGCAGGCCTCGAGTAAGGCGTTCTATTTGTACTACACTGAGTGGAGAGAGTTTCTTTGCTTTCGCTACCGGCGTTAAGTCCAGAATATGTTCGTTGATAGTTCATCAAATTTAATTCCCATTGCGTTCAGCGTTGTAGTTATTTCATGAAGTATGGCGTTCCTCGCTATTCTCAAGCTTTCACATTTCAAAATAAAGTGTTCTATATTTTCTTCTTCCTTTTCACATAACAGACATTTAGGATCAGTCTCATCTTTGTACATTCTGATCCTTTTGCCCTGAAGGATATACGAGCCTGTAAGCAGCTTTAATTTTACTGGCAATCTTGCTGTATCAATAGTAGAGTGGCAGTTGATTTTGAGTAGAGGGTATATTTCCGGTTCTCAAATTTTCAGTTGTTAAGAAATTGAGTCCTTTATATAATGGCTGTAACTGAACTATTAAATATATCCAGTGATTGTATATTGTCTTCTTGATAGTTGAGGTCCATACGGTCTTCTTAACTGGGTTGTTCAAATACCAGCTTGCTTCCTGCAGGTCATACTTTCGTAGCATATGCTTAATAGCAATGAACCAGCTAGAACTTCTATCGTTTTTTATAAGAAGTTGGCGTTTTGCAAGTGATTTTTTCTACACTGTCGTCAGGCTGGTTGCAATTGTTGATAAATAGGCCTAATGCTCGGATGTGTACTTGTGCCTCAATGGGTAAAATCGAAAATAAAATTTGGACCATTTACTCAGATAATCATCCACCCTATACATTTCAGAATCACTGAAAATTTAACAGAAGTTGAAAGTTTAATGACTACCCTGTAGATATACTACACATTTAAGCATCTTTACATAATTTTCATCTCGGTAAAATATCCCATTTTAAAAGATGGTAGATTCATTAAGGGACTTCATTCGTGCGTACCTGACTGGTATCCTGTAACTGGGATCCTATTCCGTATAGTATAATAACCAGAGACAAAAATACTCAAATATACCCATAAAACACACAACTAAAGTATATATCATTTCGAAGGGGAAACCTTGCGCTTTCACAATATTTGTGTCGTAAAATTATGAACTTTTAATACTTTATTTCACAGGACGAGTGACAAAACTTTATATGAGAGTCAGAGTTTTTAATTTTCTTACAATTTTGAAATCGAAATTCCGTTATTTCAGCTTTAACTCTAGTATTTCAAAATTGGGGATTTTACGAATGATCTTCTACTGTTATGTGGCTGATAATTTTGAAGTAAGAAGATTTTTGGTAAATTTCAAACTTCGGATATTTTTGGTTACATTTTATCTGATCTTCGTTCAATACCGCAATCATGTAGATTGCTTTTCCGTTTTTTTTTTTACATCGACAGTAGCTGTTGACTTTTTTTTTTTCATTAGCCGAATCTTACCAGGAATTAGATGGTTATATCTTACATTATGCATATTATGAGTTCCATCCCCTTGGACATGGTTGTGGAAAAAATATATCGGGTTTTCATTGTAACATGTTTTACGATTATTTCTGTGTTGTTTTTTTTTTTATGATATGTCACGAAGCTCCTTATGTTTTAGATTATTTATGTCTCATTAGATTGAGGACTTATTCCTTCGTCTAGATTTCAGTAAGTTGCTTTAAAAAAGAAAATAGATATCCAGCAAGATTCTTGGTTAAAACTTATGATCAGCCTCTAGAAATTGAAAACAAAGAATTTAATTTATTGCAATTTGATACATGTTGCGTTTGATTTTTAATATCGTCCCAAATTCACAAATGAATTAGCTTAAGAATATGAGTTAATTTGGCATGAATTGAAACCATGACAATGAGCAAGCCCAGTTGTAAATATGATAATGATGTACAATATATAAACAGAACCGGTGCAAATGCTTCCTTAAAAACATTCAATTTATCAATGTCTGATTTGTTTCTTTTCCATGTAAACATTTATCTAAGTGTGTTCAAAACAGAAACATTGAAGTAAATCAACTGAAGGAAAATAATATTTTCAATTATTGTTTAGCATTCCGGAGCCCTTGAGCTAATCTCCGGTTTTTGGTAGGATTCGTGATGCTACGTCTTTAGTTTTCTATGTGGTGTTTTGTTATGTGTAGTTTAGTCGATTTTCGTAATAGAAGTGTTGGTATTTTCTTCGACGTATGATTTCTATGGTCCTTGAAATCGATCTACCTAGAATTTCCATATTAAACAGTTTTTCAGTATCATTATTTCCTTTTTATATTACAGTGGAGCGCTTGAGATAAAAATATTCATTGGATTATATTACGATCCTGTACAAGATGTTTTTCGTTGGACGGATGGAAATCTTCTTACGTATAACAAATGGGCAAGTGGCCATCCATTGACCATGGAGACAGACCATTGTGTTCATTTATCAAAAGACCTGAGGGAATTTGAAAGTGATATATGTAGCACAACACGCAATATTCTTTGTTCTGATCATGGTAAGATTCTGAGACAGAGATACTGCCAATTGTCTCTGTAATTTTTATCTCAACTCGTTCGCTATGCTCGTGTCTATAGTGACGTTTTGGATTTCAATGAGCGTTATCTATGTATAACAGGTAAATTATTAAGTCAGGGATTTCGTTACGACATATTATTTCCATAGATACAAAAATTTGGTTTGGAAGTTTGGCTGCACCTCTAAAAAAATTATTTCAAATGGAATAGTTGTTAACTTCTATGTCATTTGGTCTCTGGTGGAAAGTTTTCTCATTAGCAATTATACCACATCTTCTTATTTTTATAGCACATCCTAATTTTTATGGTAATGTTGTTTACCGCGCCCGGAAATTTAGATACGCTCCGAGTAAACTTATAGATCCTTTAAATAAACTTTTTCTAAAAGATTATCATTTCAACATTGTAATTAGATCTTTAAATATTGTTTTATTGGTATAGAAATATATTTTGTTATCAGTACTTTAAAACCATATTAAATATTATTGCAATACACATATTCACGGTTCTACAATCTGTTGATACCTATATTTTGGCATTGCACAAAGTCATATTTTTCTCGGACTGTTAATGACGTTTTTATACTAAATCAATTATACGTTGTGTACTGATTGTTATTAAAGTCTTAAATACATGGTTGTTTTATTAGTTATCAGCTTTGAACTAGCTGCGAGTACTCTCCGATCTGTGCTTTGTGTCCTTTTTGTTGTGGGGGATGTATAAATTCCTTGCCACGTCCGGTCTGTGTTTTTTGTTAGATGTCTGATTTGTATCGATCTGATGAGTTAAGCCCTTATCAACTGATTTTTATAGCTGGTTCTTTTGTTGTATTTTTTCTCCCCTGTCCCACGTTAGGGGAGGGTTTGGCGCCATCAAACATGTTTAACCCCGCCACATTTTTTATGTGCCTGTCCCAAGTCCAAAGCCTGTATGTCAGCACTTGTCGTTGGTTCATGTCTTTCATAATTGTTTTTCTTGCATTGTTATAAATTAGGCCGTTAGTTTTTCTCAATTGATTTGTTTCATATTTTTCATGTTAAGCCTTTTATAGCCGACTATGTGGTACGCATTTTTCTCATTGTTGAAGGCCGTCATTTGCCTATAATTGCTTACATTCACTTAATTTGAACTTAAGTTGATAGTTGTCTCATTGGCAATCATACCACATCTCCGTGTTTTTATATTAAGCAGTTCGAAATCTTCAGTAAAATTTCAATTTGGCGCTTGTGAGAATTCTGAACATTATACTAATTTACAAATGCTAAACATAGCTCTAAATTACATTTTTGCAATATCAGGCAATTTTTGAGTATTTATCTAAAATTAGATACGAATGACAAACCAAACCCCAACCAGAGAAAAAAAAAAGATATGTTGGTCCTAGATGTTCTTTAGAACGAAATTGATACACTACAACATCTTATTTACATGGCAATCGATGTGTCACTTTTGATGCTAAAAAAGTCCGCCTTTTCACGATTAAACCATGGTATGATATAAACAAGTACAATAGACATATCCCATTAGGATAAGCTGTCAAGCTGATTAACACATTCAGTTGAAAGATAGTTATTAATAATATGAAGCGTTTGCGTGAATATGTATTTTATACATATTTGTATTCAATTCGACTTCTTTTGTGTTTTTATGTTAGCCTTATAACCAACAAATAGAGTAATTAAAGAAATGTTTCAGAAAATTATCTTTCTTTAGAATAGAAGTTTCTTTTTCATTTGTAGAATTGATGTTTTCAAAATAAGGTTGTAGGAACGTGTATTGGCAATTTTATCAAGCTATATACACCTGTATCTACCAAAACAATTTTCATTTATTAACATTTCAGACAATGAAAGCGATAAATGCCGTTTTAAAATTTTCATTTATAGTTCAACATGGTTCACGTTGTTTGGAAAAAATCTTTACGAAATTGTGACATCATCTTGTAATTATTACTCGGCATTATATCACATCGCTTCTTATGTTCTTTGTATACCGTACAGTTGCTGGATTATCAAGTCAAAAGACGTCTAAACCATTCGTCACAGAATTTATTACGGCAGAACCGACAGTTAAACAGATTAACTTGGCGTTTGTATCCACACAAATATCCACACAAGAAAAAACAAGCTTATCACATGTGGGATTACAGACTCCTAAAGACGACCTAAGTTCTACACCAATGACCACAGAGAAGACAATGTTTCGTCATGTAACAACACACAGAACGGATGTTTCAAGTACGGATAAAATTGCCTTTTATCATTGTTGATACTTAATGACTTTGTAAATCATAGGGGGTCCAGCTTACTCCTTCATAACATAGAATACATACACTAAAATGAAGAAAACTATATGTCAAAATTAAGACAACAGTAATTTATCAATGTTCAAATCTCATTAATTGTTTTAGAATACAACTCAATGTAACAAACATAATATCGGAATGGAAGGTGGTCATCAGGACCTAGACCGAATGTGTTGACGGTGACGGTGAAAGCATCTCCTGCTAGGCATGCATAACCCAACTTGTGAATACACACGCAGTGAATTGAAAATGTTACAATCACGAAAAAGACACAATGGGTAAATTTAAATCGGTTTCATTTGTCGTAGCAAGAATCCCATTCTCTTTCACTCGAATGTTACATTATCAAATGCGTTTTATCACCTAATTGTACTTGACTTGTGATAATGAACACGACTGGTTGTATTTATGCTTTATATAACCTTTCGGACTTGACTTGTGATTATGAACACGACTGGTTGTATTTATGCTTTAACCTTTCGGACTTGACTTATGATTATGAACACGACTGGTTGTATTTATGCTTAACCTTTCGGACTTGACTTGTGATTATGAACACGACTGGTTGTATTTATGCTTAACCTTTCGTGTATTTATGCTTAACCTTTCGGACTTGACTTGTGATAATGAACACGACTGGTTGTATTTATGCTTAACCTTTCGGACTTGACTTGTGATAATGAACACGACTGGTTGTATTTATGCTTAACCTTTCGTGTATTTATGCTTAACCTTTCGGACTTGACTTGTGATTATGAACACGACTGGTTGTATTTATTCTTAACCTTTCGGATCATCTGAGAATGTTTATTGGGTTCTTGTTGCTAAGTCCTGATTTTCTTTTAGTGTTTTGTCTCTTCGTGGTATTTCGTTCTGGCAATGGGTTTTTCTTATGAATTGTAAATATCTTTTTGGTATCTGCTGTGTCTTTTGTGACAGACATACCTGTATGCGTAAATGAAAATGCCTAAATAAGAAAGAAGAATTCAAGTGGAACTTAGAGTCGATAAGTCAACATTGAGGGATTGTGGTTGATTTTCATACATGATGAAGACACAATATTTCAATCAGTTTAATCGAAGTCTTGAGCTGGGATATCAGTAACTGCAAGTAGTCCTTTGTTAATTTATGTTCATCGTTGTTTATCATTGTGTTTTTGCTTTGGTTTGCTTAGTTTTTTATCTATATTACTCGAAGATTGTCGTAGCAACCTTGATCATTTCAATTGCATTGTAATGATGTTTTTTTTTTAAATTCAAATAGCCGGCTTATAAAGTATGTATCACAATTATAATCGCTAAGTTCAGTTACAGTTTTCCGTTTATGATGGAATTAATTTTGCAAGTCTTCGACTAGGTCTATTTTTTTCATTTTGAGTTGTCGTGATAATTTAGTTATGTTGTGGTTGTTTTGATATGTCATATGCAAAAGGGCATTAGAAATACTTTTTCTTCGAAACTACCCCCACCCCCGAAAAATCCCTACACACATGCACTATGCACATAAAAAAATGTTTCTTTAGTTAGTAAAATAGATATTTCAAAAGATATGATCATGCTCTATATTAAGCACTACTGGTAAATATAGAAAGTTTAGTTGATGTTGCAAACGCATCCAATTATGCAAATATTCGTGGCAAATGTCGTAGTAAACCAACTGTCCGTTGTGAAACCATTCATTGACTTTGGTATAAAAACATTGTCAACGGTGTGTTCTTCCTTCCGGCTGAAATATCAGTGCAAATATGCGTACACTAAGCTGTGCGAAATGTTAAAGAACATAGTAAAGATTGGTCAAATAGGGATGTTACGCTCTTTGTATGCTGAAGAACATTAAAATAACCCATTGAAGAGTCCATAGGAGACCAGTTGCAAGACAAAGTTCTGCCCCTAAAAAATACCTTCTCTTCCGTTGGCTATCCAAAAGGCATAATTTTGTATTGAATAACACATTAAAATTTGTAATAAGAATCATCAACAATACCCCACAGTACAACAGACAACATCAACTACTAAAACACAACTTGCAGTTCATTTTCAAATAACCATTCGGGTCAAGTGTAGACTATTAAAAGAAAAGGTTGAAAATGTTCCTTTCCGTCTTCTTTCATATTTCATAATTACAACATGGAGAAACAGATGTAAAAAGCAGTTCATTTGTACTTTGTAATCGTGGTGTCTCTGTGATGCTAAAAAAGTCAACCTTTTAAAGATTAAACCATAGTATGATATAAACAAGTACAATAGACATATCCTATTAGGATAAGGTGACAAGCTGATTAACACACTCAGTTGGAAGACTGTGGACACTTGGTTATTTATACTGTGAAGCACTTGTGCAAACATGTATCTGTTACATATTTATACCCCCGCTTTAAAAAAAGTGGGAGTATACTGTTTTACATCTGTCTGTCCGTCCGTCCATCCATCCGTCAGTCCATCCGCCAGTCCATCCGTCAGTCCGTCCGACCGTCCCATGAATATTTTTCGTCGCATCTTTCTCAGGAACTACATTACAAGGATTTCTGAAATTTGGTTTAAGGGTTTATATGAGTCAGCTATACTGTGTGATGCGTTTTCAGATTCATCACTCAACAACTTCCTATTTACCGTCAGGATTTTTGGGCGGGGGTATCATTAGTGAACAGTAGCTCACAGATTCACTTGTATTCTATTTGACTTCTTTTGTGCTTTTTAGCCTAATAACCAACACATGGAGCAATAGAGTAAATGTATTAGATAATTATCCATCTAAAGAAATCTTCTTTTTCATTTGTAGAATTGCTATTTTCAAATAAGAACTTTACGCACAATCTATAAACACCCGACTCTACTTAAATAATTTTCATCTAATAACATATATGACAGATAAATGCCTTTTTAAATTTTCATTTTTAGTTCAACATGTTCCATGTTGTTTATAAAATATCTTTACCAAATTGTGACATCATCTTGTTACTGTTACTTGGCATTAAATCACATCACTACTTGTGTTCTTTTTATAATGTACAGGTGCTGAATTAACAAGTCAACAGACCTCTGACACACGAATGTCCACACAAGAAATAACAGGCCTAGGCTTATCACCTGTTCGCTTACAAACTCCCAAAGACGACATAAGTTCTACACCCATGACCACAGAGAAGACAATTTTATCTCATATAACAACACACAGAATGCATGTTTCAAGTATGGATAGAATAGCCTTTTTCATAGATCAAAGCTAATGACTTTGCCAGTCGCACAAATATATTGAACATTAGTCAAAAAGAAGTACTTTGTTAAAACATCTATACGTAAATTCAAGTTTAGACATCTCTTTTACTAGTATTCAGAAAAGTCATCTTCACAATTTTTAATATTTATGGTTTTCCGCAATTGTGTTTCTACTGTTTGTAAAACATGGAAATAAGTTAAAAATTATAAATCATAGGGTGACCGAGCTTAGCGGATTTGTTTCAGTTAAATCGATTTATGACTTTTGAACAGCGGTATATACTACTATTGCCTTTATTTACCCCTTCAAAACTTTGAATACATACACTAAAATGACTAAACTATATGGCAAAATTAAGCCAATAGTAATTTACCAATGTTCAAATCTCTTTAATAGATTTAATAGACAAATCAAGGTAACAAACAAAACTTGGGGGAATCGAAGAAGCTTCAAAAGGAGCGAGACCGAGTGTCTCGGCAGGGGAAGCATCTCTTGCTATGCATGCATCACCAGCCATGCGAATCCGCACTCAGTGAAAATGTAACAGTCGGGAATAGGACGCAATATGGAATAGGATACGATAGCTAAAATTTCAAGGTTTAATTTGTCGTAGCTGCAATCCGTCCTCTTTTTACTCGATTTTTACATTACCGAATGCGTTTTATCACCAAATTGTACTTTCCATTATGAACACCACTGGTTGCGATTATGCTTACCCTTAAGCTTTTGGATCATTGGAGATCACCCTGGGTTTTGTATTGGGTTCTTGTCCCTTTTTCTGTTTTGTTGTCTTTTCGTCGCTTTTCGTTTTTGCAATTGTGCTATCTGTTTTTCTTTAACTAATGACGACATACCTGTTTGTGTGAATGAAAATGCTTAAATAGAGTGCATTCAAATCGTCTGTTCGGGTTAACACATTCATATGAATAGATAAATTATTGATGTATTATACCTACCATAATTTGTTTTTACCGTTTTGACCTATATCTGTATGTAGATACAAAAACTTATCGTAGATCCAAATAAGGCAAGTCATATAATATTCTAACGGGGATATTTTACAGATTGTGAATTTTTGGAAGGAAAAAACTTAACACCGGCATATTAATTCCAAATGATTGGAAAGGAAAAAAAATATATGAAAAAGAAGCACTCAGTGTTTCTTAAAACGACAATTTTCTACCAGAAAGCTAACATTTGTTTATATGAAAAATATTACATATTTTTTGTATAGTTAGCCTTGCTAAATATAACATATTTGTACGATCATTCATTTTATACATATTCTGAACCGTGCCTCTGCTTTGTCCTAATCAAAACAATTTACATCATTAAAAGAACAGTGAAATTACATTCATATGTTCCGAAAACAATATATTAAGAATAAACGCGTCAAATGTATCAAATTGATTTTGCCAAGAAACGTAAAACCAAATTTTTCGCCCTTTGTATGTTTTACAAGAAATGCAACAACGCAGAGTTTTATATAGCTTTTTAAAAACGTATACACTGTTAAATAGTTGGTATTAAAGAATGTTCTGCAGATTGAAAAGTGTATTATAGTGATCAAAGAGTAAACAAAGTTTTAATGCTTAAACAAGTTTTATTATGTTATGCTTAAGAGTTGTGTCTAATGTATCAGTTTTACATAATATTGATATACATTCTTTCTACTATTGTCAAAAATGTATTTCAGCTAAATCGCTGTGTCCGTGCGACTGTCACATGAATAACAATAAGAGTAATGCTATAGATGATAATGAAGTCGAAGAAATAAAAAGAAGAATTCATAAGGAACTTAGAGTCGATAAGTCAACACTATCGTCAACGAGAAACAAACGTATATCAGCCTACGATGATCGTACCTCTTCCAAATGTATAGGGGCAGTTGGTATTTGTATTCTTGTTACTGTATTGTCAGTTTTTGCTGCCACTGATGTAATGTCATGCTTCCAATAATTCCAAAGGAAGTGTTTTGCAGTATCTATGAATATTCAATGTTTATCATTCAGTCTGGTTTATCATCTACATTACTGGAAGATCATGGCGACAACCTTGGTCATCTAAATTGAATTGTTATGCTTATTTTCAAAATTCAAATAGTAACTTGTAAAGTATAGAGTTTTCTATAGCTTTTAGAAAACGCATAAATTATAAAATTGTTGGTATTAAAGAATGTTTAGCCGATGGAAGAGTATATTATAGTGAACAAAGAGTAAAACCATACAAAGTCATGTATTAATGAATTGTCATGGTTATTTTAAAAATTCATACTGTCAGCTGATTGAGTGTATGTCACAATTTTAATCGCGACGTTCAGTTACAGGTTTCCTTTTATGGATTACGGAATTAATTATGCCAGTCTTCAACCAAGTCTACTCATATTTTCAGTTGTCATTATGATGATGTGTTGAAATTCTTGGTTGGTTTTTGGACTAATCTTTTTTTCATTTAGGTATGTTGTAGTTGTTTTGATATGGTAAATATTTTTTCATTCCTATTTGTACTGATCATGTTCCTCTATTGGAACAGAAGCAAAGACTTCTATTGGAGGGCGAAAAGGACGTTAGGAATAAATTGGTTTCTTCGAAACTATCCCCTCTAGAAAACTCACTACACTATATGCACTATGCACACAAAAATGTTTATTTAATATACAGATATGCTAAAATATCTAATTATTTTCTTTATTAAGCATTGCGATCCAATAAATAAGAAAACTAAGTTGATGTTGCAAACATCCAATTTTGCAAATATTCGTGGCAAATGACGCCTTATACTGTAAATATACTGTAAATCAACTTATGTTCACTTTACTTCGTTAGTAATCCTTTCTAGCCAACTTCGCAGCGATTTTTCTCGCGATTTTCTAGTTTCCTGATTATATGAAGGAAAATCGAAGTTTTACACATGCACGACGATTTACATTTGCGTTATTTTTCTACTGTGAAATTTACGAAAATAAATTGCTCGCAAAAATTAGCTTGTTTACAGTATTTCTGTATGTTTGTTATTCAACAATATCATATTAATTTCAGTATATGTTTAAGCTTATGGTATATCATAACATGGTATGGTTTGATACTATCACATTGATTAACATCCCCACCTGCCTCCATTTAACAATATAAAATTACATTTTGCATTTATTTGTGCTTATACAAGTTTAGAATAGTACAAGAGCGTCAGCTGATTATGAATTCTTTCATTTGTAAGTCAAAAACTATTAAAAAAATGATGGTTTTATATAACGGATAAGAATACATCTAACATATTATATATCAAACAATTTTAAGCACCTGTGTCTTTTAAATCTAATATAAAAACTATTAGTATAGTATAAATCTAGAATTCAGATCAATCGAGACTCGCGTGCTCGTCATATGAGGATAGCGAAATCAGAGAACTATATTTTAATTATATTGTCTAATATCGGATCAAACACTGGTCAAGGATCCAACATATCTGTAATTATAACTATGGAGTTTATAAAGGTCTGGTAGTCTAATCTGTAATTTTACCGAGTGTGTCCTATTTTCGATTGTGACTTGATTATCGTGGCAGGTGCTGCATATATAGCAAGAGACGCCTACCCTATCGAATCACATCCTTGAAGGTTCATCACTGTTCAAGGTTGAAAAGAGTTGATCGCTAGCTAATATTTTAACTCTGCCAGATTTTTCTAAACCACATGCCTGTAGTTAAGTGGTTGTCGTATGCGTACTTTCTTTTAGTTTGGATAGTTAGATTTCTCGTTTGCATTGTACGTTTCACAATTTTGTTATCCCTGGTCGTGTTATAGCTTGTTATACGGTATGGATTTCCTTCATTGGTGAAGGGCAGATTGTAACCTGTAGTTTTTGACCTCCTCTATTTTGAAAAGATGGTGGATAGTTGTTTCATTGGTGATAATACCACCTTTTCTTCATATATGTTCTCCGAAGTAGAATTACAGTCATTGTTATCTTTTGGATCATGAATGTTGAAATGATCATGGAACAATTAAGGAATGAATGCTTCTTATTGTAATTTTATTGGGGTGTGAAAGTGTTGACCGAAGCACATTTTGTATGAAGCGCGGAAAAGCTTCGTTCTAAAAATGTGTGCACGATCAACACTTTTACAACCCTATCAAATTGCTAAAAGAAGTATTCATTTCTTATAATTACATTTTAATGCTAAGACCATGAAATAAATAATTTTATCAAGTTTTTCTTTTATTTACATGTGCACTTTTTTGTGGAAGCACATGTCATCACGAATGTAACATTTCATTTTTATATGAAGGATAATTTTTGAATGACGCGCGATTGTTGTTAACCAATCAAACTAACGGATTCTCGTGAAACATACATGTAATGTAATTATTTAAAATTAAAACTTTTTTCTGTCACATACCAAATATTCAGTATTTTAATCTGAGAACGTTAAAGATATTATATGTAAGAAGAAAAAACACAACAACTTATCAATTCAGACATCATTATTAACCAATACAATTAATACCTATATGAAAAAATTTCACTCATCACTTTCATTAGTATCTCTGATCAGATCTGACCGTAAATTAACTAAAGCAGAGCATATACAAGTAAAATATCATCAAACAGTTTTAAGGATGAAACATGCACAGTCCCACTTAGAATTTTGAAGACCTTGAGTCGTCGAATTACCCTTTCGACGTGTAATCGTACTCTGACAATCCTTCTTGTGGTTGTCACGTCCTCTGCACTTAACTGAGGTTTGTTTTTTGTGAACGATGGAATGATCAGCTCAACACGCAGTGGAAACAATAAGTCGTCTATTGTAAAGCCACGATCTGCCATAATCTCGTCTCCTGAAAGCAAGTAAATCATGAATCCACTTTTTTCTACTATAAATTTGTCACTAGCACGACCACTAAAAGCTTTGGATATGAACATAATTTGTCCATGTGGGGATATCCCAACTAAATATTTAGCTGTATTATGGGACTTGTAATTGCTGTACGTTTCACCCCTACTCCTTAAG